TTAGCAGTCATCTCTAATAGTTTTGGAGTTTTTAATTTTTATTATCTTCTATAACTCTAGGGCAAACTGTAGATTTGCCACACAAAATTGACCAATCATGTAAATACTGATTTAAAGATTTTGAACTGAGGATATTTCAAACCTGTAGATAATTCCAAACTAGATGTGATTACCTAGAAAGTGTGTGTTGAGGATAGGAAAGGTAGCAGAATACAACAGTTACTAGTATGGCATTATGTAAAAATGTGAATATGTAACCAATGTGATTCTGCAATCTGTATTTGGGGTAAAAATGGGAGTTCATAACTCACTTGAAACTAATGTTTGAAATATGATATGTCAAGAGCTTTGTAAGGTTTTGAACAACCAATAAAAAAAAAAGAAAGTGTGTGTTGATGGGCAAGAGATGGTATAGATACCACCACACGATACAAATTGCATCCATCATTCTCAAGTAAGAGCTTCCCACATACAAAAGTCATATTTAATAATTTTAAATCAATAGCAGCATGTTGAGGAAAAAATAATTTCATAAACAGTGGCTGTAACTTATTAGTTAAGAATAATGGAATATTAGTTTGAACACTGGTCATTCACGGGTTGCTCTCCAATCTAATTGTAGTCAAAGATTAAATTCTCATCTAAAGCAGACAACTACTTTCTTCAAGGCTAGATATAATTCCCATTTCTCAAAGTAATTTTTTCCTGCAACTTGGTTATTAATGATTTTATCCACTCACAAATCTAAGGTTTATGATTAATCCTCTCTTTAAAAAATCCAAATACTTCTATAATAGCATAGATCTCAATTTAACAGATATCTGCCACTAATGTCTAGTTGACAGCTGAATATCAACTCAGTCAGTCAGAAGGGCAAATGGCTGTCATTATACATGAGTTTCATGTTCAATCAAAAAAAGCTTATTGAATAAGAGAGCTCATTGACTTGTCCACATCTGGATTTTTAAAGAAAAGTTGTGGATAATGTGAAACATAAATCTCAGAAGGAATGGAATGGAATTTTATCCTATAAATTTTATATACAGGTCCAAAGGGCCACTGAAGTTAAATTTATGCAGGGTTACAAAATATGAATATATAAAAGAATTTTCTGATTCTGTACCTGTATTTCCCTTTACCAACTTGCTTTTAAAAATAAGAAGTCATTTCGGTGCTGAGAGGAAAGAGAGAAATTTCACAATTAAAATGTCAATCTTTATAAAAATAGTTTTATTAAGTACAGGACACATAAATTTCATCAGATATCACAAATCTTCTTTTTAACAATGGGCACCAGGAGAGGACAGCTTTCATTTATAAAAATAAAGCCAAATCTAAGTGACATTTTCTGGCTTGTCTTTCTCATTTTTTTGACTTGCCACTGAAACTTGAAACCTGATAAAAGCCCTCTAACATGCACCCACTGAAAGTTTGAGTTACAGTTCAATGATCATTGGAATTTTCTTCTAAAATATATTCTAGGTCACAAGTTTTAATACATATTGTTTCTATATGGGATAGTTTTTTTTTGTTTGTTTGTTTGTTTTTGCTAACAAATGTTGACAATAGCTCTCAGGTTGATCTGCTGAAACTTAATGTATCCTTGATTTTGTTTTAAGGCCAAAGAGTGGGGTAGTTAATCAAGAGAAACTGAACTTACTATATTAGCTTAGATTAAGGGTACTAAAGTTATGGATGCTATTTTGAATCTATTTGAATGCATTTGAGGGTCCCCCCGCCTCTAGTGAGAAGTATAAAATATTTGCTTGAAGACTGTAAAAAAAAGACATTTTTGATAACAGATATTTTTCTATCACAGATGTTTATTGTTAGAAAAATTCAAATGTATATGTAAATAATAGAGAATGAAGAATATAGAAAGGAAATTGAAGAATAGATAAAACATGTGAGTAATAATAGATATGTCAACTTAAAAACCATAATTTTTGTTAGAACATTAAAACAAGTGTAATACTATATAAAATAACAAAATATGAGAAGATCTGGGTGTATTTAAGATGCTCTAAGATGCTTGATTTTCTACTTGTGTTGTTTAAAAGGAAGCTTAGGATGTTAATTAAAGTTTCATTAGATCATGTATGCTAGCTTAAATATTCAAGATTACTAAAATAATGAAATGTTTAACAAAGGAAATAATGGAAATACATAATCTAAGAAAAGGCAGTAAAGCCTCAAAAAAAAAAAAAGACTAATTACAGGGGCTGGAGTCGTGGCTCAGCAGTAGAGCACTCGCCTTGCACATGTGAGGCACTGGGTTTGATTCTCAGGGCCACATAAAAATAAATAAATAAAATGAAGTATTGTGTCCAAATACAACTACAAAATAAACTGATTAGCTATCTACCAACCTATCTGGTTAATATATATGTACATATGTGTGTGTGTATATATGTGTGTGTGTGTGTGTGTGTGTGTGTGTGTATGCATATATCAGTATATTTTCTGTTATATATGTAAGTATATTTATACTGTGTCTATATTTATACACATATAGGCATACACACTCACAAGCATGGGAAGCATACACACAAATTTCCAGAAAGTGATGCCTTCTGATGAGAGAGGCAGAGAAATACAATCCTGTAGGTTTCAAAGAAAGGAGGTAGGTGTTTTAGTGATTTCTATCGCTTTTTATTTCTTTAAAATTACTTGGAGCAAATATGGCAACGTGTTACTGTATCATTTAACCTTTTCCTCTTAGGTACTTGAGAATGAGGTTTTCTGCTGTTTTTTTTTTTTTGAAATATTTCATTTTTTTTTCAAGTAGTCTGATAGATTCCTGAATTTTTAGTGTGGCTTTTATTTTAAATTTTTGCCATTTATGTATTTCTCTGTGCACCACTTAAAGTTCCTGCCTTGCTCTATATTTCCTTAATTTTTGTTTATATTTCTACTCACCTCGTTTTTCTTCAAGTATCCCATAATGATTGCAATATATGCCTTATGCCTTTTTGCCTTTCACCCACCACTTGTTCAAATCACAAGGAAAAATGTAAACCTAATTATGCAAGTCTGAAATGATTGCCCAAACTCATTGAATATTTATGTTCATGCATCTGAATTGTCTGGGTTATTCAAATGTTTTTTAAAAAAGATTCTCCATATACTTTATTCTCCCAGGGGGTAGAGACTAACCTCATGTTTGTAAAATTAATTTTAAAAACCCACTGAAGAGCCTCTCTGAGAATCAGTTTCTTCAAATGTAAAATGGGAATAATGTACCATGCAGAGTTATTCCAAGAATTCAAATAACATCTGCTAGTCACTATGCAAGTGATTGACACATTCAATGCTGGGAAGGGATAAATAGCAGTGATTCTTCATAAGCAGTGACAATTCAGTGGGTCCTACCACATTTATTCTCTATAGCATTCTTCGGTTATACACAGCTGAAATATTCTGAAATTGCTATGATTTCAAGAAATTTTACAGGTGAAAATAAATAATAACTTTCAAAAAATAAAAAAACATTTCACTTAATGGTGAGGACTGTCCTGAAACTCACCAGGTCAGAAGCTACAACTACTTAGCTCTTTAGATTAATTACATAAACATCCTGGTGGTGGGGAACATTATCACAGGACTCTTCTGATCCAAGATGAAGAATATATGTCTTTCTATGAAACACTTTCAGCTGAAACAACGTTTAATTAAAAGATGGTTCAATATTTAAACCAAATTAGAAACCACATTTTTTCTAGTTTACTTACTGTAACTTTTAAAACACTGGTTTGTTCAGGAAAGAGTAAGACGATCATGAAGCTTCCTCCCAGAAAAACAGCTCTCAGGTCATCAGCATTATTATGTTCATGTTGCTGATTGCTGAAGCAGCTCACCACTAAGGACCCAAATGAAAGGGATTCTCACAAAATATCTTCTGATGAATGGAATGATTGTCTTTCAGGAGTTACGAGTCTTATGATAAACAAAATGAATCAAGGAATGTGAATGACTGTAGGAAAATGAAAAAAAAATGATAAGCACACTATGAAAATTAAACCCATTGATGTTTCAAAAGTTTAATATGGTTTTTATAAAACTGAACTTGCAATACTGAATACATGAGTTTTATATTTCTGTAACCTAAATGACCTTGTACATTTAACTAATTATAGATTGCATGCCAAAAAATGCAATTAGTTTGATAATAATTTGAGTATGTACAACATAATTAAAGCATAAATTTTGAAGTAGAGTTCATAGACATACTGTGCCAAACCTTCTGCTAGTAAGGAACTGTGGAAATTTTTCATTATACATGAAGGATGTAAGTCAGCTTCTGCATGACCTCAGTCTCCCTCCAATAATAATAATAATGCATGATGGAAACCCATCCTGTTCAGACAAAGATGGTTTTGAATGCTGAGACAACTGAATATTTTTCATGATATTTAAAGCCATGTATGCATAAATTTAAAACAGCATAAGAATAATTTTTCAGAAATAATTAAAGATAAAATATCCTTATTTTTCATTTGGTATATATTTACAATGTATATTCACATATTGCTGAAAAGAATAAATATTTATATTAAGGATCAGCATTATCAAAATAATTCTTTTATTTACAACATTTTGATAGAATATATAGAATAGAATGAAATATTTTACTATAACAAGAGATATACTATTAAAATGCTACAAAAAGGACAAGTTTCTAGTTAAATGGAGTGATTCAGTTCAATGATCACATTACGCTTTGCTTTCCAATAGCCAGCACATTGGTGAAATGAAAATTGGCTTAAATTGACTATTACTCTTTGATTTGAGCTCTTACAACTTCCTGAAGTGGAAATACTGAGATTTATTTTTTTATTCATTCAATAAAATGAGTAACTTTTCAATGCCAAGAGACATGTCACATACAGAATGAACAAATGTTACATGAAACCACTTTAATAAGAAGTCCTTTAGGATGAAATATACGAAACTGAGATGATTATTCTTGGACTGATCCATGTCAAAAAAATGAGCAAAAAGAGAAGAAAAGCAATTCTTTATTTTTATCCAAATATATCAGACTTTATAATATAGTTTCAACAAAAACTTTGCCATATATCATCCAAACCAGGACATTATAGGAGTGAAAGAGAATGCTACTAATAATTACACAAATACAACAGGTAAAAACTGGAATTTTCCTGGGTAAACTGGGATCTATGATCAACCTAGAAATAGGGGTTAAACTGCAATTACATGCAGAAATTGTACCTTTCCCACACATGTGGAAAAGATAAAAAAAAAATACCATTCACTTTGATTAATCAGTTTTGGCAACAGGAACTCCTCATCATTCAGATCTCTATCCAAATACTACTCACCTCCCAAAGCTAATCATCTCTATTTAAATACTCAATTCTTACCCCACACAGTCATTGGCCACTGTTACCCTGTTTTCATTCTTTTGCCATTTTGACTATCTGAAATTGTCTTTTTTTTTTTTTTTTGTCTGTTTCTGCCCCTCCCACCTACTGGTATGCTGTGTCCATGATGAACAATGACATCCTCTGACTTAGTCATGTTCAAATCCCCAGGAAGTAAAAATTGCCTAGGACATGGAAGGCATGCAAACTTTTGTTGAATGAATGAATACATTCAAAGATTTTGTTTTTGGTTTTTCTTCTTGGTACCAAAAACAAATTTAAATGACTCTCCAAAGTAAATTATGGCTCTGTTTAGTTTAAAGGTGTTAGACTAAATGATCTATGCAGTTTCTTCCACTGCTAATAAATAGAGTATGCCATGCCTCTAGGCCCCTTTCTCTGCTACTATCTCATTTCCTACATCCAGCAAATAAGAAAGTTTAATAATCAAGGGGTAGGGCCACCGCTCTTTTCACAGTGGATTAATTTTCAAGGTTGATCATTTTGCCAGTTACAATTCCCTGGTATATGTTTGCACCTACAGAATTTGGTTGATATAGAGGTAGCCAGAAGATATTATTATAGTTAATGATAGAATCGTTGATGTAATAATTTGCCAATAATAAAATCATCACAGGATTGCTAAAAAATAGCAAATGATGGGAGCCCAAACCAGCCATTAGTGATTTGCACATTAGTCAGAAGTGGAGTATTTCTGTGCAGAATTAGATTGCAATGCCCAAAGAAGTTTTGTAGGAAAAGTTGTAATATTCTAATAAGGAACACTTCTAACTTTTCATAAACAATTTGAACTTCAAATCTTATTTTGAATGTGTTCTACTGATCAATAATTTTGATTCCTAATAATGAGTATGACCATTGGGGTTAAACATATCGTACTGCTAAAACTGAGTAGACCAGGGATCCAAGATACCAATAAAATCAGTGCTCATCAAGAAGAACTATGTGTAAGTTATCTTCAATTCATCTAATTTTAATTTCTTTCAGGTCTGTCCAGACAATCTTTCTGAACTATAAGTGACAGGTCTGGGACAGTTCCCAGGTATGAAAAAAAAATCTCTCTTCTTACAACAAATGTCATAAAAAAGAACAGCATAAAAAGAGACTCAATTAGACAAACATATTTTAAGCATAAGTATTTATCATTTGTTTCTTTGCCTTATTGCATTCCCTTAAAGATATTTATTTTTTTGTTTTTTAAAAGGACAGAAAAATTCCAGAATAGAAGTGAAAACGTTTCCAATTGGTTCTGTTTGAAACAGGGACCATGTCATTTTACACAGATTCTGATATATTCAAATAGAACCTGGCTACTGATCATTACAGTGATTTAGCATTTGTTCAGAGCTCATATTTGTATTATATCATGTACAAAACAGATTTTCAAATTTTAATTAGTCCAGGAAAGAACTAATTCTCAAATAAATCAGCACTAATTTCCCCCCAGTACTAGCAACTTTTAAAATCATGAGAAAATTTCAATGATATACCAGGTATCGGTATGCTCTAAAATTTACAAGTCAAATGTATAAGGCAATACTTTTGCAGGGCTGTAAATAGCAAACTTTTGTGACCTTCTCATGATAAAACACAATTGAACCTTCTATGACCTTGAACAGCAGAAAACATTAAATCAGATTTTTAAATGACAAATAATTTAAGGCTAAAATATTTGGTATTAATAATTAATGCCAGTAGCCTTCCTAGTCTAATAAAGTAAACATGCACAAGAACTACAACTTTGAACAAAACATCACAATTTTTATCAGATATATATGTATGTATGTGTACATGGATGTATATATGTATATATATATATGCATGTATGTGTGTGTGTAGTTTTATCACCCTGAAAGCTATCCACTCATGTTTGGCTTAATACATGTGTTAGAAATGATAGGGAGACTACCTCTCCTTTAAATATATATTTGTATATATTTTCCAGAATATACAATATAAATATGACATATATAAATCATGCCATAAAACTAAATGCAAAATTTTCACATTATTGCATGCTTGATGTGATAATACATGCCCATTAACAGCTTCCTTATGATGTTCTCCCTTCCTGATTTTCCTTTCTGCACAGTAGCAATACTTGGGAATAAAGAGTTCTCAAATATGCTAAGTAGACTGGGGGAGAAATATATCTTTCAGATTTCTTAGGGAGGATTATCTCTTCAGCCAAATATTGGACTATTACTAACTCAAAACATTAAATAATGCCTAAGGGGGTGTTTTGTTATGTGAAACGATCAGAGTTCATTTTTCTTAATTTGGCTGGAAGATTCCCTTCCATCCTGGCTGCTCCTCCAGCCATTTTTTGAAGCTTTGGTGGCAAATCAGCCACAGACTGGCTCATGGGATCAGATAACATCTTGGTGGTTTTGGATACCAGTTTTTCTTCTGAGTTGCCAGGAACTGAACTTATTCGTTGAAGTTTCATGGGCAAATCTCCCAAACTGTAGGCTTTTTCTGAAGTTGTAGAACTCATCCTTAAGAGTTTTTTAGGAAAGTCTTCTCTTCCAGTAATTTTCTGCAGCTTCGATGGAAGTTTTGTGCTAATGTCATCTAGTCCATCTAAGCACTCCACAGAATTATGTCTTTCTTTGCTGTTTGTTATGGCTGGTGCTATTAAAGGGGATGACATGAGAAGCATTTCCTCCTGCTCTTTCACACTGTAAGGTGGGGTGGGGACTTCAAATGTTGCATGGAACTGAGAATAATCAACTTTAAAGAATCCTTCTTCTAAGGATATTACTGGAAAAAAACGATGACCCCAAAGAACTTCATCTTCAGTGTATGATGTTCGAGCTTGGCAAGTCATTCCTATAAACAGAGAGAAAACTGTTGATAAATTATGCTCAATGGAAGCACATGGAAAGCAAGTTACACAGTTCAATTTGCTCACACATTTATCTAAGTTAACTAAATGATAAAATAGGTTAGAAGTTTCATTGTGCATGCATAATACCTTTGCTACATATACCTTTTTCTAATGAAAAAGAGGGTGCTGAACTGTTGATGTTTGAAGGGTAATACATCATAACATAATATTGTTTATTATCTGTAAGCCAAAAGCAAAAAAAAAAAAAACAGCATAGCATACTCTCACAACATATGTGTCTCTATAAGGAGCTAAGTAGACAAATTATGTAATCATTTTCTGTCATTTAGGAAGCAATGTGATATGCAAAATAAATGATTTCAAATCCAAACTTTTCCACTATGTAAACTTAAGAAAGATTCTTAACTGAGCAGCATTTTCCTCTGATTAAAGCATGGAAAACAACACCTGTCTCAAGAGTGAGCATGAAAATAACATATAATGTTTTACATACGTTATCTACACATATTTGACTCTTTATAGAAAAGAACTCTTTCTCTTCATACAGAGAAAACAGAGGGAGGGAAGAGGACCAAAATTAACACCCTCTCATTGTTACATGAATAAAAGATGAAGATATTTCTATATTGGGTATGGGACAGTCATTGTGATACTTCTATCCTTTTGGACCTACAAAGTCCGAATAAACTTTTTGCTCAGGTTTTAGACATACATAATATAAAATCAGTAATCTGGGTCACTTGATGTGCCAAAATTCCATTCCTGCTCTAAGAGTTTTTGGAACCGGATGCTGGATATCAGATGTAAAATTTTGCTGTTTGTATGTTATGTTGCTTGAATATCGTTTATCTCATGGTACTCTGATTTACTCAATTTTGCTCTCTTCAAAAATCAGTTATTTAGTTTGAGTTACTATCAAATCAATCAGCCTCTGAATATGCATTTTGAAGACTGGAAGTACACGAATGGATTAAAAAGATATATCAATGTTTCAGGCAAAAGATAAAATTTTGTGTTAGTAAAACTCACCACCTTCCTCTACCTTTACTATCAGACTTCTATTAAAAGCTATTAAAGTATATAATTAAAAAATTAAAAACCATTTCTTTAATTATTAAGTGTAATTTAAACAAGTTATGACAGTCTTTTAGCATTCAATTCAATTTTCCTTGTCACATTATTTTTATTGTTTTTAAGCCTGGAACTTGGAGTAAAGGGATATTCTGCCCTTTTACTCCCTGACTGGTAATCACACATACAAAATTTACAAAAAAGTTGGATAAAATGTATAATTAAAAGGCACACTGAAAGTAAAATGATTTTTTTACTGAATCATTTCAAATTGTTGCCTTGTGAATACTATTATTTATATATTATGAAAGAATGTTATCAATACATACCATATTTTTTAAAATATTTTTTTAGTTATAGTTGGACTCAATATCTTTATTTTATTTACTTATTTTTTATGTGGTGCTGAGGATCAAACCCAGGGCCTCACCTGTGATAGGAAAGCACTCTACCGCTGAGCCACAACCCCAGCTCCACATATCATATTTTTAAGGATAGTTAACAACAAAACAATTTGTGTTGAAGACAAATACTTATCATGAGGCAGGCACTGTGCTAGGTGCTATCTGCTTTTTTCTAGTCCTCAATATGGTTCTGTCAAGAAGATATTCTTCCCTTCACTTTAAAGATAAGGAATCTAATACTTCAAGAGATTAAATCTCTTGGCCTTCTGTGGTCAGCGATCTAGTATGTTTTAGAGAAAAGATGTCAGTATCATTCTCATTTCTCTCTCTGAATGTACACATGTGTGTGTGGTTTTGTACTTTGTTAGAATGCCACTAATATTTTAATTAGGAAGTTGATTCTAAACAATTTATTGCTTTAACTCTGTATGAACTAATTATCAGTGTTCTTGATCAATTGCATGTCAAGAATAGTCCCCAGAAACATTAATGTATTAAGATAATGTAGTTTAAAAGGTTATTTGTAAGTTTTGTAAACTAACATTGGTCCACATTTTGTATTTTCAAACAATTTTTTAGTCTCTGACTAAATATTTTTAGGATCAAATGATAGAATTCTGCCTTATCAGAAAAGATATAAAATTAACTTCTTGATACACTTACTTGGTTTTGTATTGACAAATTTAAAGATAGAGAAAAGACCCTACAAGCACCCTACATATAAAATAACAAAACAAATAATGTTGAAACACCCTTTAATTTCTCCCTAAAAGACATCACTCTATGAATTAATAAATTCTTTGTATCACAATTTAAATCAATGAAAAAGATCATAAATATACATTTTTTATTTTGGGTAGTATTTTCCGTACAACCCCATTTTGACTAAAAGAAGTCTTCTGATTTCATTGGCAATTGAAGACAAGCAGAATTATCTAAAGTGAAAGCATATACTCCATATAACCTAGTGTTTTGAAATATAAGGTATGTTTCACAGGTTTTTCCTTTGACAAGTTAATTTTAATTATTTCTAATGGAATAAATACTGGAACAAAATTTGATAACTACCACCATTATAATCTATCTTTCTATAACTGTTTGGCTTTATTTAGCGCATGCTCATGAAGCACAGCAACATAGACACCATTGTGGAAGAATGATCTCCAGGCTGTTCTTCTTCTGCTTCTATTGTGTCCTCTGCCCAAAGCAACTTCTATTTTAGGTAAGATTTAGATAAAGCCTCTGCTGTTCAGCAGTTATCGATTGTGTAATATTTTCTGTGTCACAGGATCTAGTGATTCCCTTTGGCCTGTGGTTATATCATATTTATCCACATCGTGTCTATCTCATGTGAGTGACACAGAAGAAACAATGGAGAAGAGTTGAGTTTGAGGTGTTCTGAAAGTTTAATTAAAGACTCATCACATGGAGACTCTCTGTCATTTTCACTTTAAAAGATTTCAGATATGTTCTTTAAATGGACATTGAATTAGGTTAAAGAGATGAACTTAGTGTGTGTCAAGGCAGAATCATGAAAGGAAAATGTCAAAAATAAAGGGGTTAGACTTTCCTGTCTGCATTTTAAGCAGATGTACTGCCACTGGAATAAGGCACAGTAAACAACAATGTATACCCTTTTAATCCGTGAATCAATGCACAGAATAAATCTTTTTTCACAAAGTGTTTTTCATCTCAAGACTAAGAAGTCCCAGCTATTTCCAGTAGCAGCATCTGCTGCTTTGCCAGTTTCCACAGAGATGAGCTCGTGTTGATTTTCACCACATTTGTTCCAGTCTAGAATCTGGTTAAAACATGCAAACAGTAAGATTGCCAGTTAAGAGGTACAATCACATAGTACCCTTTGAATAATGGTATTCACCTGCATTTACTTTAATTCAAATAGTATTTTAGTTATGACAGTTTATTTAAAAATGATTTGAATTAGAGAAAGAAATATAGGGTAAAGCATTCAAAAAGGAAGAATTCTATCATGCATGCATATTCTTAGAAAACATAATTATATCTACTTCAAAGCTTCTCAATTGAAATTTGCATTTTATTTTTGAGCACCATTTTGAAATGGCCTTTGCAAAAAAGAAGTAGCACTCAAGTATATATCTTAGCTCATTGTGCACTGGTAATCATAAACATTTTTCCTATTATCCAATTTATAAAGGTCTATATCAAAATTCATGTATTGATTTCAAATTAATAATAATCTGAGGTAAAATCAAATTTTCACACTATGATGTTGAAGACTGGAAATATCTATTATTAATGTACTTACATCTAATAAAGTAGGAAAAAAAACAGCAAAAAAGCAAACAAAATTAAACTGCTAGCAAAATTTATTGGTGTAATTAAAACATTATTATAATTGATTTTAGTTATGTAGTCTGTTTGTTTTGTTTTGCAGTACTGGGGTTTGAACCCAGAAGAAGTCTACCACTGACACACATCCCCAACCCTTTTTATTTTTAACTTGAGACAATCTAAGTTGCTGAGGCTGTCCTAGAATTTATTATCCTCCAGCCTTAGCATCCTAAGTCTCTGGGATTATACAGTGCATCACTGTGCACAGCTTTGAAATAAACCCCAAGTTTTCACACTTAGTCTCTCTTGCTAGTAGAGGTATTTAGGCAGAAAATACTGAGAAACTCTAAAAGTTGGAAATATGAATAATGTAATTTTTTCCTATGATTGAAAATATTTTGAATGTCTATGGCTGAAAATTAACCAAAGCATTGCTTATATTCAGTGACTTAATATAATTTTCTACATTACAAATGTGGGACAAATTACTAATATATCATACTTTCTCATTTATTTATTAATTCACTAATTTTCAGGAAGCACAGGAAATACAGGCAAGCACCGTGAAACAATAAAAACAAGTCATCTTGATCACTATCTAAACACCAAATTCTTTCAACCTTTAATAGGTCTATAAGAGAAGCCATTATTATTTATAGCTTATAAATGACAGGTCCAGAGATAACTTTCACAAGCTGTTTAGTAGAGGAATTGGTAAAATAATAATAATAATTCATATTTTTCAATTTTATAATGTTGTTGCCTCATTTATATCAGTGGAAAAAAAACGAAGTTAATTTCAAACAGGAGAATAGAATTTCACCTTCCTTTCAGGCAAAATCACATGCTGATATTTCACTAGTGATGCTTATAGGCATTTTAATATGAACAAACATTTGAGTACCTGCTTCTATTGTAAATGTCGTAACACCTTAAGTACATAAAAAATCAAAGATCTGTAAAGTCAAAATTTTGTAAGGTTTTTACCTCTATTTAAGTTTTTCTAGCTCTTATCCTTGGCTTCTGATAATCCTCTAGAAAACAACTCAAGGTAGTCATTGACAATCAGTAATGTGGTATGTTGTAATAGTGACTAGGAGGGGTAGAATTCAAATTTTTAAATTAATACTATTTTTCTTATTATATAAAATCATAAGTTCAGTAAAGCCATGTGATAACAATATTTGTATAGG